GCTAGGTGTGAATGTTTCAACTGACCACCTTCATTAGCATTTGAAGGCCTGGCTGAGCCTGGGAAAATCTGTTGAGAGGTGTTAAGATGTGCCTGGTTGTTTCCTCTCTGCTGTTTTGCTGTTGTAATTTTTGAGTTTTTAATACTGGTAGCCCGATTTTGTTCATTTTCATGGTCTCTTCCTTTCTGTTGAAATTGTCCACATGCTTGTGGATTTCAATGGCTTCTCTGTGTAGTCTGACATGGTGGTTGTTGGTGTGGTCCAGCATTTCTGTGTTCTCAAATCATATGCTGTGTCCAGGCTGGTTCATCAGGTGCTCTGTTATGGCTGACTTCTAAAATTACAACAGCAAAACAGCAGAGAGGAAACAACCAGGCACATCTTAACACCTCTCAACAGGGGATTTCCCAGGCTCAGCCAGGCCTTCAAATGCTAATCAAGGTAGTCAGTTGAAACATTCACACCTAGCTCAGCAGACAAGAGTCCTTTGTCCCACCCTGGTCATTCCACAGATATATAAACCCATTTTCCTATTCCAACAGACCTCACTACCTCTGAGGATGCTTGCCATAGATGCAGGCGAAACGTCAGGAGAAATGCCTCTAGAACATGACCCTATTCTATTATTTTGTTTTTGATGCCTCTGAAATTCAAAATGTGAAAGTTCTACATGGCTAACTTGGCCTGTAGCAATTGATAAAGCACTTTGCGGTTATGGTTCTACTTTGTTGTTCTTGATGTCCTCCTGATGGCTCCACCTTCTTCTCAATGTCAACTTTTCACCTTTTGTACAGGATGTTCCTCCATCTTTCTTTTAAAAGTTAGAATGCTCCTCTATGACTTAGTTCTTGGATGGAACAGTTTTAAGATAAAACCTTCTGGCATTTTTTGCCCCACCTTTACATCTGTGGCTCCGTCCATTTCTGGAGAGTGGCCTTCAAGAACTTCATGAATTTTGCCTTCATCTTGAAGGAGTTCTCCATCTGAGCATTGCTTCTAAAGTTTTCCATTTATTTTTTTTACCCTAGGTGTATCATTTAATAGAGTCCCTTTTCACACAACCCAGTTCTAGTTCTATATCACCAATGTCACTTGGGTGACTTCCCTACATAGTAACATAACATAGAATCATAGGGCCCCCTGCCAAGAAGCAGGAATATTGCATTCAAAGCACCCCAACAGATGGCCATCCAGCCTCTGTTTAAAAGCTTCCAAAGAGAGTTCCACTGCTGAATGGCTCTCATAGTCAAGAAATTCTTCCTAATGTTCAGATGGAATCTCCTTTCTTGTAGTTTGAAGCCATTGTTCCACGTCTTAGTCTCCAGGGCATCAGAAAACAAGCTTGCTACTCCCTATGACTTCATCTCACGTATTTATACATGGCTATCATGTCTTCTCTCAGCCTTCTCTTCTTCAGGCTAAACGTGCCCAGCTCTTTAAGCTTATTCTCCAGACCCTTGATCATTTAGTCTCGACACATTCTAGCTTGTCAACATCTCTCTTCAATTGTGGTGCCCAGAATTGGGCACAATATTCCAGGTGTGGTCAAACCAAGGCAGATTAGAGGGGTAGTATGACTTCCTTGGATCTGTACAATACACTCCTATTTATGCAGGCCAAAATCCCATTGGCTTTTTTTGCCGACGCATCACATTGTTGGCTCATGTTAAACTTGTTGTCCACGAGTAACCCAACACCTTTTTCACACGTACTGCTCTCAAGCCAGGCATCCCTCATTCTGTCGCTTTGCATTTCATTTTTTTCTGCCTAAGTGGAGAATCTTGCATTTGTCTCTGTTGAACTTCATTTTGTTAGTTTTGGCCCATCTCTCTAATCTGTTAAAATCATTTTGAATTCTGCTCCCAATTTGGTGTCATCTGCAAACTTGATGATCCTGCCTTCTAGCCCTTCATCTAAGTCATTAATAAAGATGTTGAACAGGACCGGGCCCAGGACGGAACCCTGCGGCACTCCACTCGTCACTTCTTTCCAGGATGAAAAGGAAACATTGGTGAGCACCCTCTGGGTTCATCCGCTTAACCAATTACAGATCCACCTAACCGTAGTTTTGCCTAACCCACATTGGACTAGTTTGTTTGCCAGGTGGTCATGGGGGACCTTGTCGAATGCCTTACTGAAATCCAGATATGCTACATCCATGGCATTCCCTGCATCTACCCAGCTTGTAACTCTATCGAAAACAGCTGGATATGGACATTACAGTGCTGCCCAGTTTGAATTCCCACAAGTGTAAGTCCATCTATGAAGATACCAGTCCCTGGTGGAATTCTAGCCATTATTTTATGTATAGAAAACACAGTTTCCTGGACAGAAAGTGCTGTTTTCTGTGCAAAACAACAACACGTTAATTTTGTGCATAAAATGTCCAGAATTGTGAAGTCTTCAAAAACGACACTGCTTTGAAATACTTTCTTGTGTTGAATAGGCCTCTATGTAGCTTTTGGGGGGAAATAGGAAGGCTGCCATAGAAGAGAAAGCATGGAAAAACTTGGTTCCCTTTGTATGTGTCCAAATGTGGATCCAATTCCGAATTTCTAAGCAGCTCCTCTCAGCATTGTTTTTGCCTATCTATGGACAGTGTAGCAACAGAAACAGATAAAATGGAGAATCTGCCCTTCTTTGACTACACCCAGGAAATAAATAAATGCATTTAAGGAGTCTATACATTATTCCCATTGAAAACAAATGAAGAATACACGTAAAAGAGAAGTGTTTCTATAAGCCACAGATACTCGATCATTTGGAAATATTACTACTTCCGCAATCCATTTTTTAATCAGATGTTTCTCAGAGGTGAAAGCGGTACTTCATAAGATTAAACCTTGATGCTGTTCGAAGTATGTACTCAGGGGGAAAACGCTTAATATTACATGGTTTTGACAGTGTTAAATTACTCGTTTGTAATAGGCTGTGTGGTGTGGTTACTTTTTTCCTTATTCCTATCTTATACATGGCTTCAGAACAGAGGCACAATGGCAAGGAGGCCATTGGGAAGGGGTCTGAGACTTCTATGAGGAAGAGAGGCACATTGGTATGGAGGCCTTAAGCAGATATGACAAACAGTGGCACATTGGCAAGGAGACCATTGGCATCTGCGGGGGCCATAGGAACATTGGAAAAGGAGGCTGAAACATCTATGAGGAATAGAGGCGCATTGGTACAGAGGCCTTTGGCATCTATGGGGGTTCATGGGCACATTGAGAATCAGGCCATAGTTGTCTAAAAGGAACACAGACACATTGGCAAGGAGGTTGTAGGCATCTATGGGGGTCGTAGGCACACTGGGAAGGGGGATGGAGACATCTATGAGGAACAGAGGCACATTGGTACGGAGGCTGTTGGCATCTATGGGGGCTATAGGTACATTGGGAAGGGAGGAGGCTGAGACATCTGTGATAAACAGAGACACATTGATATTGAGCTAGAATTTGGAGGCCCCTGCCCAGGAGAGAGGAGCCCTTAGACCCATCAAAGAGAGTCCGAAACCCTTGGCAAGCGAAAGAGGAGAAAGGCCCAGAATTTTCCCTGATTTTTCCCAAATAAATCTCACCAAGGTTGAAGGAAAGCCATCAAGGTTTATTTAGCAATCCAGCTGAAAAGGATGCAGAGCTGCAATCATTTGCCAGCAGAGCATAAAGAAATACATTTGATACAGCCATATTTATAGTAAATTCAAAGTTGCAGAGTTCAAACTTCCCGCCCCAGCCTCCCTGCCGCCCTCCACTGTGATTGGACAATGGGCAAACAGTTGGGAGGCAGCTCTCCCGCCCCCAGTGCCTCTGGACCAATCAGGAAGCTCCAGCGGTCCATAGGATCGAATTGGGAGGCTCCTGCCACCTAGCGGCGATAGCAAATCAGGAGAGAGGGAGGCGGTATGATAGGACGCAAAGGAATCTGTGAATGAATTCTGAAAAAAAATGCCATGTGGCCTGCGGGACAAAAAAGGAACTCTCAAGCAAGGCTGATCTATTGTGTTTTGATTGGAATGAATCAACATGTGTAAAGGAAAGTCTGGGTTTTACTAGCCAGCAAACATGAGGACAATGAGGGTGAAACTGGGGTGAATGTTCCTTAGTGGGAAGTTAGTTCAATCAACCAGTGCGAAGGTGGGGGCTTTCCGAGGGTCCCCTGACCTCCAGGTAGAAAAATGATTAGGGGTCTTCCAGGGAGCAAACAGCATTGTTGGGCAATCCTCCGAGAACAAAGCCGCCTGCCAGTTTATTTTTCATGCAAAGGAAATTCTGGATAAAAGTTCTTTAGTGAATGCCTTGGGCTCTGCAGTTTCCTGGGGGGGGGGTCTTCATGAGGAGAAGGGGGAAAAGGTCAAATGGGGGGGGGGACATGCTTGGCTTCAACACTGGTACGGAGGCCATTGGCATCTATAGGGAACAGATGCACACTGGCAAAGAGGCCATAGGCATCTATGGGGGTTCATGGGCACATTGGCAAAGACGCCATAGGCATCTATGAGCAACAGAGACAGATTGGCAAGGAGACCATAGGGACACATTAGCAGGGAGGCTATAGGTGTTTACAAGGAACAGAGGCACGCTGGCAAGGAGGCTGTAGGCATCTATGGGGAACAGAGTCACATTGGCAAGAAGGCTGAAAACAGCTCTGACAGAGGCAAATTGTGAAGGAGGCCATGGGCATCTATGGGGGGAAGAGGCACATAGGCATCTATGGACAACAGACAGATTGGCAAAGAGGCCATAGACATCTATGGGACACACTAGCAGGGAGGCCATAGGTGTCTATAAGGAACAGAGTCACATTAGCAAGGAAACCATAAGTAGCTATGACAGAGGCACACTGGCAAAAAGGCTATGGGTTCACTGTAGCCTAGAATTGCTTTGACTCTTTGAGCTGCCCCATCACACTGTCGATTCGCATTCAGCTTGAGGTCTACTGCGGACTGCTAGGAGTATTTCAATGGCCCTTTATGTCCTAATAACCACTCTTTCTTGCCTGTCTCTTAGGCCTGTAACACCTGCTGACACCTGAAGCTGGCCTCGCGTGCTGCCCTGGTGACAAGCAAAGGATCTCCATCCTGATTGGAAGGTCACCTCTGACTGTTACGATTCCTCCCCTCCTCAGCCTCAGTTGCTCCGGATCTGGCACTTTGCAACCTCACTCCATCCTTCCTTCCTTCCAGCTGCACGATTGTATCTGACGAAACCTCCAGCCTGGCTCCGGCTTGACCGATGGATTCCTTCACATAACACCAGCGGTTGGTATGAGATCGCATGCCGAGTGGTTGAAAAATGAGGCAACATCAGCAAAATAAAAACGTTAACAAAGAGACCACGGCACCGAATGCCTGATCTTCTGGGAGCAGGATCGCAGAATGACTCCATTTCCCTTCCTCTCTGTTGACTTGTTGCTATTCAACTGTTTAAAAAAAATGTCTGTGGGTTAGTATTTGTATATGTATGAGTGTATGTATATGTATATATATTTATATAGAGAGAAGAGATATACAATAGGGTTAGCTTTTGTATGGCATTCACCGTAGGCTTGTGGTCAGTGGGGCAGAGAATAGCACAGGGGCATGATTGAGAACCGAAACCAGTAAGATCCAAACTCAGCATATGCTACGTATACAATGGTTTAACCCAAAGGAGAGAACATAAGAGAGAAAGTCAAAAAATGGCCACATTGGTGGCACCCTTTCTTCCTTTTTTTTAAAAAAAGGGACCACCTTTTTTGAGCATTATGCACAACTGATTCATCTGCCTTCCCTTTCACATAGAAGATCTTGCCTAGCATTTCCAGTAGCCAATGAGAGCCAGCCTGGTATAGTGGTTTGAGCATTGGGATGCAGCTCTGGAGGACTGGGTTGAATGCCCAATTTGGCCATGGAAACCATAGGAAAGGCACACTTTCTCAGCCTGAGAAAAACCCATGACAGAGTCATCTTAGGGCTGCTGAAAATCTGAAATGACTTGAAGGCACTCAACAATAACAGTGGAAGGACTTCTTCATGGGTGGAAGCATAGTGCTGCTATCTGTGTTAATGCAAAAATGACTCCAAGCAGCTTTCTGTTTGAGAAGTGTGTCTTGCATTGGAGGGGAATTTCCATCTAGCTTAGAATTGGCCTGACAAACAGTCAGCTCTCCATATTCACTGGGGTTAGGGGTGCAGGACCCTCACTAAGGCAAATACTACAAATAAATACATTTTTTTGTATCCTGAAAGAACATATCTTGAAGAATACCAAGGTCTTCTAGTGCAGCTCTGTAATCAGCTTCCATAGAATTGTACTCGAAGACCGAGAAATTCGTAGAGGTTCTCTCCAATCTATCTATGGCAAAAGTTGGCTGCAGTACTGCACTAGGGATTTTATAGAGTGACAGACCATATTACTGTATTGACTTGAGTCTAATGTGCATCTCTATTTTCAAAACCTGGAAACCCAAAAAAGAATTTGCCAGATATTACATGAATCTAATGTGCACCCTAATTTTGGGGAGGTAATTTAATCCAAAAAGGTGAGCATTAGAATCGGTAATCAAATATAAAACTGAAACCTACAAATATGAAAACTGAGTATAGTTGGGTTGTTGTAGGTTTTTTCAGGCAATATGGCCATGGTCTAGAGGCATTCTCTCCTGACGTTTCGCCTGCATCTATGGCAAGCATCCTCAGAGGTAGTGAGCCCGAAAAAACCTACAACAACCCAGTGATTCCGGCCATGAAAGCCTTCGACATTACATTGAGTATAGTTGATTAAAGGCAGTTGTATCAATAAAAAAAGAAGAATCATCATGTCATTACACTTTGACTCAGACTCCCATCAGTCCCAATAATCAAGGGATTATTAAAAACACTTGGGGAATCACATGTTTTCCATCCCCTCTTTAGGTATGAACATACTATATCAGTTTTCAGCTTTCCAGTAATAATTTATAGACTTGTGCACAGATCTGTTTTTAGCTGACCCCTTCAGCCATTCGGCTTATCCATTTCAGCAAGGGGCCAGCAGTCATGGATTCCCATCTGTAACAGGACCACATGGCAGCCGATCACAGCTCCTCCTCCCTGATTCGGCATCACAGTTGAATTGTTTTGATTTTCCTTTATTTTCCTGATTATTTTTATTTAGTGGAACTAACCAGGAGTTGGGGACCTGAGGGATGGTGGGTGGTGTGCACATGTGCATTTGGGGGCTTGGTCGGAGTCAGTCGCTCTTTAGCTTCTTTATCTCCTTCAGAAAATACTTCTAAAAGATAATAATAATGATTAATAATAGTAATCCCAGCAAACAAAAAGAGAAGCCTACCTCTTCTCTCCTCTAGAGTAGAAAGTAGATTTAAGGAAGCAAAAACCCAAGCAGAAAGGAGATTGCAGGCAGCAGAGAAAAAAGAGGAGATTTTTAAGGTAGTTCAGGGAAGATAGCTCCGCTGAGCTCCAGGTCATCACTCTTCCTTTCCTGGGACTCCTTAAAAATGCCTTGGAAATCTGCATGGCATGCTGCTGGAGCTGTGAGAGAAAGAGTGCACACCTGCAGCTATAAGCGCCCCTCCTCTAGAGTAGAAGCAGCTATAAGAAGCATTAAACCCGGTCTCCTGTATAAACCCGGTGGCACAGTGGGTTAAAGCACTGAGCTGCTGAGCTTGTTGATTGAAAGGTCGCAGGTTCAATTCCGGGGACCGGCGTGAGCTTCCACTGTCAGCCCTAGCTTCTGCCAACCTAGCACTTTGAAAACATGCAAATGTGAGTAGATCAATAGGTACCACTCCGGCGGGAAGGTAACGGCGCTCCATGCAGTCATGCCGGCCACATGACCTTGGAGGTGTCTACGGACAACGCTGGCTCTTCGGCTTAGAAATAGAGATGAGCACCACACCCCAGAGTCAGACATGACTGGACTTAATGACAGGGGACTACCTTTACCTTACCTGTATAAACAGAAGGGAAAGCATCCAGAAAGAGTGGCATCTTAACTCTGATGCTTTTTAGAATCCAGGTATCAATAAAAGATATGGAAGGGGAACCTGTGGGAGGTCTCTCCCCCATAATGAGCTGGATACTAGGGTGCTTCCTTAACCCCAGACTCCCTTGAAGGGAAGAGGGGAAAAGCTCCCAAGGGAAAGGAGAGCCTCAAAGTTCCCCACTTTTTTTTTGTATGCGGAACGAAAATGCCCATTTGCAATGTGCCTGTTTTTGGGAAGCCCACAAAAAATCAGATATTGCGGAGGGAGGTGTTCCGGTATCCAGCAAGCAGAAACAGATCAAAGTTCAGCCAAAATGCACAAGCCTAATAATGTATAGTGGAAATTATTGTTACTCAGTTCTGTCATGGTTTGGTAGCACTCATGTCATTCAAACTCACCATTATTTAAAGATTTCCCATAAATCTCCCCACTTCTTTTACGTCACTGAATTCATAATGACTAATCAGTTCTCTCTCGACCCCCATGAAAGCTAGCTCTCATTATAAGACAACACTTGGACCCACCTAGGCAAATAATAATAATAATGTTGTTATATAAATATATACATATATGATTTGTTTTGAAGCTAGTATATACACATACATACACACACAGGCACACACACAGTTTTAAATGCAAACTAACAAGAGCGCTCCTTTTTTTGTTCCTTTCCCTTTTTTGTGCAAGGCAACCACACTCGCTTGCAAAAACCATAGGGAATAACGGGGTCTTTCATGGTGTATGAATATGAATCCATTTTTTTAATTAAGAAAGGAAAACTATATTATTCCGTGAGCATGTAAGGTAACAGAAAACTCTTTTAACTGTATCATCGAGACGACCATCCTGTTAATAAATTGTAAATGATCCACGAAGCTCACACCAAATTGTTTTTATAACAAAAGGGGGGCGGGGGGATTAATCAGCAAAAAAAAAAAAACTAAAATAAAAGAGAAAGAGAGAGAGAAGTATTAAGGAACAGAACTGTGGCTTTTAATAGAACCAGGCAGTAACTAGGGGTAAGGTAAGTGTCATAGACTCTTTTAATAAAGTTGCTTATTTAAAGTTTGAATTGCAGAGCTTTCTTCTTCTTATGCAATAGAATGTCGCATCTGTATATCATGGGTTGGATTGGGACAGAACCCACACTTCCTACTGTATGTTTTCCAGCACTTCTTTCTATGTCATACCTCTGTTCTGACAAGAGCTTTTTTTTTCTTTCAAGTCATTAAATAAATCCAACCATACCTTTAGTTTTTCATACTCTTCTACCAAATAGCAAAGTGTGTCTTCTTGGCAGGTGATGATGTGATCACAAAAGGATGGCGCATGGTGTTTCTCTCTTCTGTTTATTTCCTTTTAAAATAAAACTTGGGTTTATCTAGACTGCAGAAATAATGCAGCTTGCGATTACTTAAACTACCATGAAGCAATGCCAGAGAATCATGGGAGTTATAGTTTTACAAGCTTCTTGGCAGGCCTGTAGCCAGGATTTCGTTTCGGGGGGGGGGGGTATTTTCAGGGGGGGTTGCGGGGGGCTGAGTTTCGGGGGGGGTGAGTCTGAGTGAAAGAGGGTCTAGCCTAGCAAACCTTTTGTATCGTTACCAATACCCCCATGCATATGGGATATATTGAGTATGGTGATCAGATAATGATATGAATAAACATAACAGTTTAAATAATGCACCAGTAAGGCCTTTTCGAACCACCATGAGAATTTGGGGGGGGGGGCGAAGCCCCTCAAGCCCCCCCCCCCCTGTGATGCTTGATTCTTTTTAAGACTAGCATTTTCAGCCCAAATTTTCAAAAAGTTTCTAATCTCAGGCTTCTTGAAATTTCTCGAATGTGATTTTCCTGCTTCTTGGCAGAATGGGGTTGGACTAGATGGCCCACCAGGTCTCTTCCAACTCTAGGATTCTATGATGATGATGATGATGATGATGATGATGATGATGATGATGATGATAATAATAATAATGGTTATTTTACTGATGCAATACATAACTAACATTATTTTAAAAAGTTATATTAAAGAGAATTTATGAGGCATTGTAACAGGTCTCTTCCAACTCTAGGGTTCTATGATTCTACCAAACTGTGCTGGTTCCTCTCCATCCTGTGATTCACCAACACATCAAAGCTCACCTTAATATCATCCAGGGTGCATCTACACCGTTGAGTGAATGCAGTTTGACACTAGAATTGTGTGCTGAATTCGTTTCTCCTATTTCTTTCATTTCTTTTTTTCTTTCGGTACTTTGGGAACACATAACGAGAAACCCTCTCCCTGTAAAAAAAAATCAGAAGGACCTGAAAGCAAGCAGAAGTTGAACCTGGCTCCAAGCCTGATTTTCGACATCACTGTTTAACCTTTTCTATTATTTATTTATTTATTTATTTATTTATTTATTTATTATTTGAACTTATATGTCGCTACTCCCCTGGGGCTCGGAGCGGCTTACAAGAACAGGCTAAAATCGAACACAATTTAAAAACAATTTAAAACCATTTAAAAACAGCAATCAAAGGTCAAAGGCCCGTTGAAACAGATATGTCTTACATGCCCTGCAGAAAGCTGATAAGTCCCGCAAGGCACGGACTTCAGGTGGCAGAGTATTCCAGAGTGATGATGCCACTGCTGTAAAGGCTCTGCGTCTGGTTGCTGTTAGACTTTGAAAGAGATCCGGTGCTCAATTGGTAACCAATTTGTGGCTTCTCATCGGAATTCCCGCAAGAAGCCAAGCAGCAAACAAAAAGTAAACCTTCCTTCCCTGAAAACTACTCTCCTCTTCCAGGAATTCATTGCTCTTCCTTACCTGTAAATGGGAAGCCTCCTTAAAATGCCTTGGAATGGAAAGAGTATGTGGCAGTATGGCATGGCATGGTGTAGCCCAGGGCCGAAAGCATGCCTATCTGCAACCAAGCGCCTCCCAGAACTTGCCTCCATGCCTTGGAAAAACAGAGTGTGTGTGGCATACAGCCCCAGAAAGTGTACACGCCAGCCAGTGCCTACAGCCGAGTACCTCCTCTAGAGTAATACATTCTTACTCTAGATGAGGAAGCACTCGGCTGCAGGCACTGGTAGGCAGGCACGCTTTCTGGGCCTGCATGCCACACACGCACTCTCTTTCCAAGGAGAGTGTGTGTGGCATGCAGGTCCAGAAAGTGTGCACATGCCTGTGTCTGCACTTGAGCATCTTTTCTAGAGTAGAAAGAAACAGCCGGTGAGAATAAGCAAATAAGCACCCTTAAAACGCGTGAGAAGGGAAGCCTGGTGTGCCCCCCCCCCATAAAGGGCCAATAGAAAATAGATCTTTCGGCACTACAGAGCAAAAACAGATCTCTGTCCTCCTGATTTTGTGAGGCTGCCAAAAATGGATCAGGTGCCCCACCAAAAGCTGGGCCATGAAATGGGTCAAGATATACCCTGAATGTACACCCTATTTGACACCACTTTAACAGCCATGACTCTAGACTATGAAATCCTTGGATTTGTAGTTTGCTGTGGCACCAGCACTCTTTGGCAGAGAAAATGAAAAACCTTGTAAAACTACAATGGAAGGCATTGAGGACAAACAAGGAGCACAGCACAACTCACTTTAAAAGACCACAGTCACCAGAGAAAATCCACATCTCATACTATGAAGTCCAGTGCTACATCTAAACGTTGGTGGTTTCCTAGTAAACTATAACTCACATAATCTCCATAGAGGTCATGGTCAGTCAAATGGCAGTGATCAACCAACAAGTGTTGGTGACCAGTTTGGTTTGGTTTGCTCTTGTTGTTGGCCATCACGTTGACTTTGACATATGGCAAATGAATAAGAAATGTCCAAGATTCCTGGTAATAAACTGCCCAGTTTAGGTTTTACAAAAATGTCAGTCCCAAGCAGAATGGTACCCATTTTTGTTTTGCTCAAAAAGAGTGTATTTTGCACAAAATATACATATTTTGCAAAATCATCACCATCATCATCATTCTCAATCCCGACTAACACCAATCCTTCAACTCTATTGATTTGACCTATTTGTTCACTTACCATTTATTAAGTGACAGGACAGATCCATTCTAGCTGGATTCTGGCCCATATCTTTATGCAAAAGTTAATTTTTGCAATTATTATTATTATTATTATTATTATTACACTTTTCTCCCTAATGGGACCTAAAGCAACTCAGAACATGGTTGTGACATTGCCAGGGCTCTGCCAGTAAACAGGCAGAGGTGAACCAAAACAAACACCCAGCTTGTGTCAAACTATTTAATTAAAGCAGCACTTATGTCTCACTGTTGTCATAGTCCAAAGATAAACATAAAGATAGCACTCAGTCACAGAATATAAAATGAAGACTGGCAGGAAATGCCAATGTAGGTTTGACAGAACTCCATAGTCAAAGAGTCCAGTCCAGTGATCAAACACCAAGAGTTCAATGAGAAAAGTCCAAGGATCAAGAGCCTTTACTGTAGTCAATAGCCAGTCCAGAGATTCAAGGGTCCAGGGTTCCAAGAGATCAGGAGACCAAAAATCCACAAACCTAGAGGGAGGGGTGAACCATCAGCATCCACAGCCAAAATAAAACAAATACTTATCTCCCCAGATTAGTCTGCAGGCTAGCTCCTTATAACAAGTAATACCCAGCTGCATGCCTCCACCCTTAATTGTTTTTATTATTATTATCATTATAACTCTATTTGTACCCCCCCCCCCCCAGGCATCTCCCGAAGGACTCGATGCGGCTTACAAAGGCCAAGGCCTCAAAACACCATACAACAATACAATACCTAAAGCAAATTAAAAAAACAGTTAAGCAGTATAACAACAAACAATAAACAATACATCAAGACACTATAAAACTGGGCCGAGCCAGAATAATGGGTACAAGATTAAAGTGCTGATGTGCGGTCTGCAGTAAGTGCAGTGTGCGGTTGCAGCAATCTTAGTTCTACTAAAGTGCTTCTAGGACTTGTTATTGGAAATTCCTAATCTGAGAAGGCATATCAGAACAGCCAAGTCTTCAAGTTCTTTCTGAAGACTGCCAGTGTAGGGGCCTGTCTAAGATCTTTTGGGAGGGCGTTCCAGAGTCGGGGGGCCACCACAGAAAAGGCCCTGTCTCGAGTCCCCACCAAGCGCGCTTGCGACGCAGGCGGGATCACGTGCAGGGCCTCTCCAGATGACCAAAGTGAACGTGTGGGTTCGTAGACGGAGATGCGGTCATGCAGGTAGGGTGGTCCCAAACTGTTCAGGGCTTTGTAGGTAAGCACCTGCACCTTAAATTGGGCTCGGAAAATAAACGGCAGCCAGTGGAGCTCCTTAAACAGGAGGGTTGACCTCTCTCTGTAATGAGCCCCGGTTAACATCCTGGCTGCTGCCCGTTGGACCAGTTGGAATTTCCGAGCCGTTTTCAAGGGCAGCCCTACGTAGAGCGCATTGCAGTAGTCCAATCTAGAGGTGACCAAGGCATGGACCACCCCGGCCAGATCAGCCTTCGCGAGGTACGGTCGCAGCTGGGGCACAAGTCTCAATTGTGCAAAAGCCCTCCCGGACACCGCCGACGCCTGAGCCTCAAGCGTGAGCGATGAATCCAAGAGGACTCCCAAACTGCGGACCTGTGGCTTCAGGGGGAGTGTAACCCCGTCCAACACAGGTTGCCACCCTATACCCCGATCTGGTTTGCGATCGACCAGGAGGACCTCTGTCTTGTCAGGATTGATTTTCAGCTTGTTCCTCCTCATCCAGATCGACACAGCGGCCAGGCACTCGTCCAGCACCCGAGAGGCCTCCTTGGAATTAGGTGGAAATGAGTAGTAGAGTTGTGTGTCATCTGTGTAGAGATGGCACCTAACTCCAAAACTCCGGATGACCTCTCCCAGCGGTTTCATGTAGATGTTAAAAAGCATGGGAGACAGAATAGAGCCTTGCGGGACCCCACAGGTCAAAGGCCAGGGGTCCGAGCAGGCGTCTCCCAGCTTCACCATCTGGGTTCGTCCCTCCAGGAAGGACCGGAGCCACGACAGAACCGTGCCCCCAAGACCCATCCCAGAGAGGCGACCCAGAAGGATACCATGATCGATGGTATCGAAAGCCGCTGAGATGTCCAAGAGAACCAACAGAGTCACACTCCCCCTGTCCAGCTCTCTATGGAGGTCATCCACCAAGGCCACCAAGGCTGTTTTGGTGCCGTGACCAGGCCTGAAACCAGACTGTGACTGATCTAGGTAGTTTTCACCTGTAAACTGTTACTTACA